ATAGTGTTCAATTATTTTGGCATTCCCTTGGGTCACCTCTATTTGGAATGATCACAAATAAGAATCTCTTCCAATCAGTTGGCCAGGTCTTCCAAATTTCTTGGCATAGGTGTGTGAGTGCCTCAAGTTCTGCATCAGCATATTGAAAGAGTTCTATTTATTTCCCATCAATTCCAGAATCTTGTTTTTTCCCAATGTCTTCAATGTACCTAGGACTTCTTCCTTCCATACTATTGGATTGATCACGTGCTACCTCTTGTAATGGTTGAACATCAACAATTTCTTTATAATACAGTGACTCTATATATTCCTTCCATCTTCTTTTGAGTCTTTCTGCATCATTCAACATTTCCCCACAAGAATTATTCAATGCAGCAAGTCAAGGCTTAAATATTTTCTTAGTTCTTTCAGCTTGAGAAATTGAGAGTGTGTTCTTCTCTTTTGGTTTTCCAACTCCAAGCCTTTGCACATTTCATTGTAATACTTTACTTTGTCTTCTGTAGCAGCTCTTTGAAATGCTCTGTTCAGCTCTTTTGCCTCCTCATTTCTTCTATTCGATTTAGTATCTCTGTGTTCCAGAATGTTTCCGACTCTCTTCTGACATGCATTTTGCTCTTTTCCTTCTTACTTGCTTTTTGCTTTCTTCCTGCTTAATGTTCTTGATATTATCCAACCACTCTGGTCTTTGATTATTAGTGTCTAATACATCAATTCTGTTCATGAGATGGGATATTGAAATTCAGATGGGATATTTTCAAGGTCATATTTTGGCTCTTTTGGGATTTTAAATTTTTTCTTCAACTTCAATCTGAACTTGCATATGATCATTTGATAATCTGTTCCACAGTTTGCTCCTGTGCAGGAAGTGCTTAACTCTCAGTGCTTGGCAAGGCTGCACTGGGGGGAGAGACATTATGCATGGCATATGATTCTCAAAAGCTAACCCCTATCTTCCCTTCAAGTTAGTCCTGATTTTGCTTGCAAAAAAATATATAATTTGGCAATATTCACAGCTTTTCACTATGAGTTCTACAAACCTTAGGAAAAACTAGTTTAGCAGAAATTGCTTTCAGCCTTGGTGGATTGAATACAAAGAGAAATTGTGTAAATTACTCC